ATGTGAGTAGTGCGTTTGCTCCGGACAATGATATACATTTCACAAACTCGATACTAGCCAATAATATTGCCGTATATATATAGTGACCCGATTGGCTACTGACGTATACATTTATAAAATTTTTCACCTTCCTCAGAACGCGTCATGGATTTTATCAAGTAAACGAAATCGAAAACTGGACGTGCGCGAACTTGATGGAAAATTATCGTTCGAAATTGAAACTAAACGATAGAAAGCAAATGTTGCACTCTATTAAGAAAGACTTTGAAGAAGTAATAAGATCTATTTCCTTCGATGTGATAAAAAAAGGACAAGCTCGAAAGATACTCGACAACTGAAAGGTAAACTCATTTAGTAGAAATAGAATTTGAACGGATTAAATGGTCGATCTGAACAGTCATGAACTGCGTGTTCGACGCTTTAGTGCAAGCTGGGACTGCGTGTTCGACACTTTAGTGCAAGCTGGGACTGCGTGTCTTACAAGGATAAATCTTTTAATCCGACGTGTCTTTTGTTCGTTATGGGATCATATTTTTATTGGATGAATTAAATGGTCGATCTGAACAGTTATGAACTGCGTCTTCGACGCTTTAGTGCAAGCTGAGACTGCGTGTCTCTAGTTACGAACTGCGTGTTCGACACTTTAGTGCAAGCTGGGACTGCGTGTCTTACAAGGATTCGACGTTCTTTTGTTCAATGGATTAAATATCGTCTGAACAGTTATGAACTGCGTGTTCGACGCTTTAGTGCAAGCTGGGACTGCGTGTCTCCAGTTACGAACTGCGTGTTCGACACTTTAGTGCAAGCTGGGACTGCGTGTCTTACAAGGATCCGACGTTTCTTTGTTCAATGGATTAAATATTGTCTGAACAGTTATGAACTGCGTGTTCGACGCTTTAGTGCAAGCTGGGACTGCGTGTCTCCAGTTACGAACTGCATGTTCGACGCTTTAGTGCAAGCTGGGACTGCGTGTCTTACAAGGATGATATTTGAATCCGACGTTTCTTTTGTTCTTTATTTGTTATTGAGTGCTGTTTCATTTCTAACCATGTATTTTGTTGACAAGAAATGGACCGCAACGGTAAAGAACTTGAAACAAGATTGTGAACTTACAACCGGCAGTGGCGCGACATACGACGATATTCGTATAACTTCAGGAAAGCGTTGTCGAGATGTGAATGATAAAGAGGCTATCACAAAAAAGGTGAGCTTATCAGTTTGACTGTTGATGGTTTCGATGGTAAGACACCTCGAAAATGTTTAAGTAGAAAGGTAGACATTTCGAGTGTAAGTATTTTCATCAAGGATTTGCATGTTGAAATAATCTTAATAATAAATTGTTTCGAAATTTTATTGGAAAATAAGGAAAATGATGTTTTCAGTAGCGATGATCCCGATGGGTTGTTAGAATTTAAACATGATGAACTAGAAGAATTAGAACAGCAAATTACGATCAGTTCAGTAACTGGACTTTCGATTTCTGTCTATTTATATAAGTAATCTTATTATTATATTTTAGTGGAATGTAGGCACGGTTAATGTGTCAAGAAAGTTTAAAGAGTATCAAAGAAAACTAATACCCATTGTTAGACAGAAAAAGATAAAATTGACATGGAGCAATACATTCGAGCTGTTGTAAGTACAAGTAGAGATATTTATAGTTATATTTACTTTGTGAAGACATACTGAATTTATTCTATTATATTTTAGGGCCCTGTCATCAATAATTGTAATGCGCTGGCCTTGTCCCTACTCTACATTTACAAGTTTTGAATGGCATCAAGTTCTTAATTCGAATCCATATCAGATTACGCAACCCGTTTTAACGGATTCACTCCTAGCCATTTTATATAAAGCAACAAATAACTTTTCACTTGGTCTAAACTACAGTTTTGATTTAAATAATGATGGTAAATTAGGGGAAAAGGCCTATCGTATATTTAATTACATGTAAGCGGTTGTATTACAGAAAATGATTGAAAAACTAAGGGAAGATTTATTAGAATAAACCTTAATTTTTTTTCTTTAGCAAAGATGAGCTTCCGTTAACATCGAAACAAAAAAAAAACCGAAAATAAACACTGCATCTATTACGTAGTTCCGTTTATAAAGCTTATTTTTGGTGGTGAATACACGCCTTACAGCCTGGAATTAAATAAAAGTGTCAGTGGAAAACAAAGGCCGGATTTTAGCTGTGTAGTTTGATGACATTGCGATATTAAATTCCAAGATCAAGCCTATGGGGTACACTCAGTTCAGGAAAGATCAAGAATTCGTAAAAGTACATCTTAAAGGGAAGGAATCAATTAACAAGTTATTAGAAAGGGAGGACCTAAAAGTTAGTGGCTTTCTTAAATATGGTTATATATCTGTTATTTCACAATATCTTATTTACAAATTCACTCATTGTAGGGGATATCATAGAATCGTTTGTAATCGATTTAGCATACGATGGAATATATAGATCCTGGCCATGTCTCAAAACAAAATAGCAGTTGATAAAGGATTGTTTCCATTAATCGTATTGACGTTTTCCCATTTTGTAATAATGGAGGTAAAACAAATTTATTTTTTTATCGGTTTTTTACATAAAAGTTTATTTATTGATTTCACCATACTTTGTATTTGTAGCAATATGTCAGTGAAATAGTAAATGATTATGAAAATCGACCATCACTTGAACAGATCGAAAGAAAATTTATTAAATTTATCCGGAGAATGCCAACCACTGCACAGTTTAGAACATTATTGAAACAATGAAATTTTATATCAAGAATATCAAGCCAATAGGATTACCGTAAGAACTCTGGCGATGAGAACGAGAGAAATGATATGAATGAATCGAAATGTGATTGGTCCGGTTGTGTTTAGTTATTTCGGCCCAACCATTAGTTCATCCATTGGATAATTGCTTATGTCCGCAACTGGACTACATCGAATTAATAACGGAAATAACATTGATAAAAGCGTTTGTTAGCAACCATGTAATTATGTTGTCATAAATATGTGTCAATGAGCTGCGAGAATAAAGCCATTTCGTCTAAATTGACTGACATCATCGTATTTTTCGGTCGGAAGCGATTATATACTTGCAAACTCATTCACAGCTTGGCGTGCATTCTTGCTGTTTCCAAGGCATGTCAGCACGTAGTTACGAGTACAATAAACGTTATCAATTGGAGTTGGCTCTATGTCAGCAGTTTGCGAGAAAGGCAATTTAATCTTATGTTGACATTTCTGAATTACTAATAGTTTCTGGTGCTAACGGCATAATTAGCACTCTTATACTTTTAGTCGGACAATCGGGCAACAGGTAAAGTCTGGTTTGTAAATTATTCACTACGGTATAAACCAAAAAGAAGGCTTTTCCCTCATAAAGAGATGCCTCTCGTGTATGGGAATTGGTCGAAAATCCCAACGCAATGATGGTAAAATAACTACTGTAGTAGAATAAACACTAACGATTGAAAATTTGGGTCGGTTCATTTCGCCGACAATCATTTCACCGACAAATTTCGCCAGCATTATTTTAAAATTATCCTTTTTGGTAGTTTTTATCGGTGAATGTACCTGTCGGTGAAATGAATGCCTCCCGAAAAATTTTAACTGGCGCTATTGTGATTTCTAATGTTACAGCACAACAATATATCAATTGCGTAAACTACTGATACTTGACAATAAAATCCGGCACAGACGTGAAGTAATCTGCTGAACGTTTGGTAGTAAAATTTGCCAACGTGTTACTGAAAACTTGCATTTAGTATTATCGCAAGAACTACAAAGTATAATCTGAGGATATTACCTAACAAGCCGTTTATGCAAGCTTGAGGCACAGTTATGCGACGGCATGATTACCCGTTTATCGATATATCATTTGTTATTTTTGTCTTCTACCTGGCAATTTTTTAAGAAAAAAATGTAAAAAGTACTAGAAGAAAACGTCATATTGAAAGAGTTTAGGTTAATGTCACATAAACAGTATAAGCATTTATTGCCAACTAAATGAGGCAATGCATCTAGTTTGCCTCTTACCCCTTTATTGCGGTAAACGAACTTGTTTGCTATAGGTAACGTTTGCTGCATTCATTTCCACGCCTACTACAACCAACCTGTTTTGGTATCTGAAGAACAAGCCCTTATCAGTTACGCAATGGAAGGTTTAGCGCGCAAAAGGAATTTATGCGCCTCCAGCAATCAATCAGTTTTTTGCAATGACAAAAATATATACTATGAACTGTCACGCCTGCTTGCTAGTCAGGCAGACACTTAGTTGACATTGAAGCAAAAAGCATGTCACTCGCTGCATTATTCTAACTAAATTTGTGCGCATTGCACGCCTTACTGCATTTAAGGTTGCGCGTTTTGAGTTAAAAAACTTTTTTGTTCAAGCGACAAATGTCGTTCTAACGCTTGTATGCACAGTGTTTATTATAAGTTGTTTTAAACTTTTGCGTAAATCTTTGCGTACAAATCCTATACTGCATCTGACCAAAGATAAGAGGTGCGTTATAGTTTTTTTTATTTGTTTCGTGTCATGCTAAATGCAGTATGTCGTGAGTGATATAACCGCTACGAAATATAATTAACAATATATAGTACGACAACAAAAAATTATGATTACTGCTGCTGATAAACCGTAATGAACAAAACTGTTTACTCAACAATACTAAGACTAGCGTTGAATCTTTTAAATCCAATTTACGTTTGGCAAATTTGGTTAGACCGAAAAAATTTTATACAGGTGGAAATTTTTGCAAGTATTTACTGCGGGAGATTTGTCTTACTTTTTTTATTGGAAACACAGAACAACACCAATTGAATGCAGATTATCACAATCGAAGAATTACTGGATGATAAGAAATGGATAAACAAAACGGTTATACATGAAATTCCATAATATTATGTCGCGTCAAATAATGAGAGATTTATTCGGCAAATTTCGAAAGCATGTTTATTGATTCAGTATATTAATTGATATTGCGACTTATAGCTATGTCTTTTAGATAACGTAAATCTCGATTGGTTATTCGTATCTTGCATTAAAAATTTAAATGACCGGCATAATTTGATTTTATACGTAAAGTTTGGTTTTCTGTCGAGTGTCATAACTCTGTTTATTACTACACGCAATAATTGCTTGATTTCGGTACAATTCAACTGATTAAATTTACCTAGATAGAGTTTAGGACGTTCTTACTGCGATATTAGTACAAACCGATGCAATCGTTTCAAGAATTGAAGTTAGCAATAAAGTTTCTCGATCCAGTCTCAGCATTATTCGCTATTTCTACTTTTTTAACCGCTATAAGATTTTTACAAAAACACTAAAGCGTCGATGGAAGAATTGTGTTACAAAATTTTTTAAGTAGTAAAGAATAATTTGATATGCTACTTGTTGAAGAAATTAATGGCAATAACAATCAACTGCTGATATAGCTCCAACAATTTACGGTTAACGTTGATCAAGAATGTGCTTTTAAACGAATTATCCATATACCAGCATCAATATCTGGTCTTTTAATCGTACATTTTTGTCGACATGAAGAAGACACTTACGATTTAAAGTTAATTATTCTAGTAGCATGTTAATACAAAACTATTTCACATTGTACGATATTAACTGTGTAAATTCAATTACGCTAAGCAATCCAAAATAATAAACCCGATATTCAATCTTATGGTCGTCATTGTATAGTATTGGATTAGACATTGGTTTAGAAAGAACCAAAAAACCTCCCCCCGCACCACGGTCTTTACATAATGGCGGTTCTATGCAGACAAACGGATTCTTTAATTGGTTTGGTATTCAATAAAGTTTGGTATAAACTAAGTCAGAACAAGTTAATTGGAGAAAATTTAGCTTTAGAAATAAAGCTCGGAATGAATCAATCCAATCTAGCTGGAAACACGATAATGACGTGCGGTTTTCTCACTTGTGCGACAATTGCCGTTTTTGCGTTCATTGCTTTAGCCAAAATGCCATTTATAGGATAATAATATCATACTAAAATCAATTAATAGTCAATTTGCATGCATGTTTTTGATAGCGCACATTTGAATTTTGCAGTAGGTTCGATTAAATGGTTCCGTTTTTGTAGGGATAAAAGCAAACATTCTCTGATGACACACGCGATCTAATATACTTTACGCTAATATGTGAGAGCATGTCTTATTGGTCGTAATGTGTTGCAAATTCTCCGAACCAATGTGTGATAATAATATTATAAATTTCTTCTCAGTTCAAAAAAAACAATGATGCTATATCAGAGTAAGCAAGAATATTACGAGTCGCCCATACATATAGGTGAGCAATTTTCTATTTATATGCACAACCCCAGCAAGTCTCCGTTTACACTTGCTTTTTTTGTCGACAAATTTCTTCCCGCATCATTCTCTTTAATAAAACTCGAAAAATTCACTCAAATACCATATAACCTTGTTTGTTGGTTGGTTCCATTATTTCTCTTTTCCAGATCAAATATCAACTTCTTCCATACCAACATACACCAGGGTCAGATCACGTAGGCCGGTCATATTCGACGGACATTATTCCGATATGAGGGGACATTCGCGCACAATATTTGGACTACGCATGAGAGATCTACAGCTCATGACTGGGCTGCTGTTACTTGCCGTATTTATACGGCTGTATAGAATATATCAACCGAGTTCTGTAGTGTGAGTTGGGAGAGAACCAGGAAGAATGGAAGTGAAATAATTAAGGAGGGAGAGAGACGGTGGGACGGCGAGATAACTTTTCCCATTGTCTGGTCATGGTACTGATTAGGGCGTTCTTTACCCTCTTTTGTGTTTTAGGTTTGACGAAGTACACTTTGGAGGCTTTGCAAGGTACGCTAAGAACAGTATTACACCAGATCGTGGTCAATAGGAACGTTCATAATACTTTATATAACCGCTGATCACCTTTATTATAAACATATGAATTCTACAGTAAATACATGAAAGGAAGATTCTTCATGGATGTCCATCCACCGTTAGCCAAGCTGTTAATAACGTTTGCGGGATTAATGGGTGGTTTTGACGGAAACTTTGATTTTAAAGAAATCGGCAAGTGAGTCAGCTTTTTCTAGTCAAATGTAGCAGCTGTTATTAATATCTTTTTAATGCGACTTTTTGCAACCAATCCAACTCAATTACGACACCAATAATAATAATGCCACATTTCACACAAATCAACACTCAAACCCCATCCCCCCAAATCAACAAACCACACAACGCGTCACCTGATACTATCGTATTTCGCCATATCCTCAAAAAAAACAAAACAACAAACAACCAGGGATTACATCGAACCGCGCGTGCCATACGTACCAATGCGTCTGATGCCCGCAACGCTCGGCGTTCTTGTGATTCCAATGGCTTATCTAACGCTCCGCCAATCACACATCTCGACAACTGCCTCGGTTCTCGTATCAATTCTGCTAATCTTGGAAAACGGTTTAATCACTCAATCCCGTCTTATTCTTTTGGATTCGCCGCTGGTTGCTTGCACCGCTCTCACCGTACTAGCGTGGTCGTGTTTCCAGAGTGAACAGAGACGTCCATTCGGATTTTGGTGGTGGTTCTGGATGTCGATGACTGGCCTTGCATTGGGATTAACCGTCAGTTGTAAGTGGGTTGGATTGTTTACGATTGCATTGGTCGGCGTCTCGACTATCCGAGGGTTATGGGATATGCTTGGCGACTTGAGAATTACTCCGGTAAGCTTGTGGAGAGAGAGAGGGAGGGCGAGAGGGAGGGAGACGAGTGAAAAGAGTGATAGCATCAATCGAAATTTATGAATGGGATGGGAAAAGATGAGAGATTTTTAGGCGGCATAAGGGAAGCCATGTCTTCATGCAGAGACAGTTAGTAATTCTCTGTCTTGTTTATATCATTTTCCGTAGGAAATATTTACAAAGCACTTTCTTGCCCGTGTCCTATGTTTAATCGTGATTCCAATATCAGTTTACATGTTTTTCTTCGCGATCCACTTTGCAATTCTCACAAATAGCGGAGATGGGGATGGGTTTATGAGTGCCGAGTTTCAGCAGTCGTTAAAGGGGCACCAAATGCACGACGTTCCAATCGGTGAGCGATCGAGATGATGGTTTCGGGTTTGGTGAGAGTTGGAGGGGAATTTGTATGAAATTTCAATGAGTTGACGTTTTACAATGTATGATGTTTTATTCCTTAGATATTGCATACGGGTCACATATTACGATCAGACATGTAAATACTCAGGGAGGCTATCTGCACTCTCATAATCACGTTTACCCTTCTGGTAGTCGACGTAAGTGACTGCAAATTTTCGTAAAATGCCCGTCTAATCCCTTTTCTTTGTACTTTGGCTTTGCTTATTATTACTCACTGGTGATTATTTACTAAATTTTATATAATTCACTACAGAACAACAAGTGACTCTCTATCCGCATAAGGATGAAAACAACGTTTGGAAAATAATGAATCGAACCAATATTCCATATGACGGTCCGCCAGTAATGGTGAAGAATGGAGACGTAGTCAGGTTGGAACACGTGGCAACGTCAAAGAAACTACATTCTCATGACATCCGGCCACCATTGACCGAGTTGGATTATCATAATGAAGTCAGGTAAGAATAAAAGGAAGAGCATATAGGTATGCTCGTTGTCAAGCTAGTCTTGTGCAAATTATTGTCCAGATTTGGTTAAATTTCACTCATTTTAATTCTTACCATCAGCGCTTATGGCTTTGCTGGGTTTGAAGGAGACGACAACGATCTATGGCGCGTAGAAATAACTGAACACAGCAGCTCCGATCCAAAATCCAAAGATTATCTCCGCACGTTACATAGCAAATTTCGGTTGGTTCACCTAATGACTGGATGTCATTTGTTCTCGCATAAGCTCAAACTCCCAAAATGGGGTTTCGAACAACAGGAAGTAACGTGCATAAAGGGTGGAACGTATCCGAAAACTGTTTGGACTGTAGAGAGTAATAAGAATGACCAGCGTAAGTGAAGGGCTAGCATGTCTATTTTGAATGGCGCACATTTGAGTGTTGCAGTTGTCTTACATTCTTTACAACTGCTCAATCAAATATATCCCATGCTAATGACATTTTTTGAATCAGTTCCCGAAGATGCAGAAAAAGTAAACTACAAAAAACTCGGATTTCTGGGCAAATTTCTTGAACTCAATCAAGTAATGTGGCAAACAAACGCCGGTTTAACCGACTCGCATCCATACGATTCTCGTCCTTTTGATTGGATCGTTCTCAAGCGCGGAATCAGTTTCTGGGGAAAGCACCACAGGCATATTTATTTGTTAGGAAACCCGATTGTTTGGTGGGGCGGGTCGGCTAGTGTTGCGATTTACTTGATTTTCAAGACGCTTCTTTATGTTAGAGCTAAAAGAGGATATAAGGATCAGTTGAGCGGTGAGTATGAAAATTGAGAGGGATATGTATTCGTAAGCTGATGTTTTCACGCGGCCTGCAAACCTGAAATGTGATCCACTCTTTTCACACGATTCTTTTTGTTAATCACCAATATAGAATCAGAGCAATTCTACGAATCTCTTGCCGGTTTCTTTCTCGTAGGCTGGTTTCTCCACTGGGCCCCCTTTTTCCTGATGTCCCGCCAACTGTTTTTACATCACTATTTTCCTGCATTATACTTTTCGGTCTTGCTTTTCGGTGTATTATTCGATATTATTACCAAGTTTTTCAAATCTCGCCATCGTGTCCTAGTGGCTCTGTGTATAATTCTAGTAACATACCTAGCGTTCCGGACATTCGCTCCGCTGGCGTACGGTGATCCTTGGACAAAGAGTGATTGTAAAAAGGCAAAGTGGCTGAGTTCGTGGGATTTCGACTGCAACCAGTTTTATGACAATTATGACGAATTTAACACTGAACCCACCGAATCACCGGATACAAAGGTGGACCACGTGAGCAGCAATGTGCCGCACGGTAAAGAGAACGTAGCTACAACTATGGGCGAGGTGGCTCACAAGGCGGACGCAAAGAATGTTGTTAAAGAGAAAGCTACAAACAACAATGTTACTGAAATGGATACTGGTGTGGCACAAAAGATGATGGAAAGAGTGGATGACGAGGACGAAGTGAACGGTAATGATGAGAAGCGAGACGACGGTGACGATGTTGATGATCAGAATGACGGTGACCTCGATGATAATGAGGATCCGAATCTAGAGAAAAAAGAGTTTGACATTGGAGACGAAGACGATGCCGATGATGAACAATTCAACCCACCCGCCAAACATGATGAGGGGTAAAAATAGACATTATAATAGTTTCATTCATAGACATTGTTGATATAATTTCAATTATTTATTAGAAGTAAATTTAAATAAATTTATTAATAAGTAAATTTAATTTGAAATGGACATCTTTTGCTATACAGAATATAGGAAGTGAAAACACATGTCAATTAGGAATTTAAGGTTATTAATATTAAAGGCTTTGCATATTTTTTTCAATGTTATACGCGTACATATATGTTGTGCATGTTGTGCATAAAAGTCTTTCCGGGCTTCTGAATCACTTGCTATTTGAAAACATAGTTTCACGATGCTTCCTATCCGTAAGCTTGCATGGATGTAGGAAAACTTTACTAGCAGCTCAGCAAAATGCAAAACCCGGCCAACTGCTTCCGTGGCTCCCGTGCTGGATTGTACGCATAACATGTTCCGGAACGGGAGCCTCGCCGCCACGCGACTTAATAATAAATTAGCAATTCCGTAATATTATTCAATTTTGCTGATACGTGAAGAATTTTTTATTTTTTTACAGACGCGTGCGTCATTACAATAGTACCGTTTGCATGTACGTTTCGAATGTCCCGAGACAACTGCACAGATGATATCGTGGATTAATCGTAGCAGACGCTTTTTACGAAGAAAACGATTTTGGACTCGGTATCTATTAACTGATAAAAGCAATATTACTAGAATGCAAACTCTATATTGTAAGTTTGACACCATGTGTGAGAACTACTCAATGCCAACACCCTAAACTTGATATGGAGCTGTTATAATAGCGTAGCCTTTCCTATAAAAGTATATACCGTATAAGAAATAAAAATAGGCTTACTTCAACCAATTTTTTAGACGGTATTATGGTAAGATACGTTGTCGAGGGATGACAAAATTATGTTCATTTGCAACCAATAATCAAATGCTCATGAAATTTACATGCATGTTAAGCATAACTGTTGCCAATGTGTGTGCAAAAGATTGACACGGAATATTAAGTTCAATTTGAATATGCGTAAATGGCTGGCTCGGTCACCCATTTACACTCAATCGAACATGTATTTTATTAGGAAAAACCAGCGACATTGGCACCCAATACTAAACACACACGTCTCTTGCGACTCCTTGTCTTACTTGATACTAACATCATCTCTGCCTTTGCGTAGTGTATCATTCATCTCTACCTTGTTATATGATATTACTTATTATTGCATAATTCATGTTTGCTTTATAAAAACACGTGAAAATAATCCATAGCCTATTTCTATTGGTTGAGATTTTCACACGCGTTTGTTTACATGTTATTGTTATAATAAGGCTTGTTTACATCTTATCCTCTTTATCTTCTTCTAAACGCCACAACAACAACGATAATCTTTTAACGACCCAGAGGAAATCTCTTTAATAATACTGATACGATTCATGGACCGATGCGTTAGGACAGGTAAAAATGCAGTGAAAGTCTACTCACCTCTTACTCTACTTTATGTAGTCTACCCACCTCTACCTTGTGTAGTGTATTCACATCTACCTTGCGTAGTGTATTCACCTCTACCTTTACGTAGTGTATTTATATTCACCTCTACCTTGCGTAGTGTATTCACCTCTACTTTTTGTAGAGCAGCCTTACTTTGTCACTACATTTGTTGTAGTGTATCATCAATTCTTAATACTAATTTATATTTATATAGGAACACTACCCCCTATAAAAATACGTGCTGTGGAAAAGCCGCAGTGCTCCGTTTTAGTATCAGGTAATCTTGCAGGAGTAACAACAAGCCAACTACATACATGGCTATCAACAATTACTCCTGTAAGATTTGTCCATCTAATTGAAAAAAAGATAAAAGGTGTAGTAAAGTATGCTTTATTTGGTGAATGTAATGAATTAAATCTGACAGTGTGTTTAATACTAATGATCAGCTACGGCCATATTCACTTCGGCACACACACAATGGCAAGTGAATTCTATAACACAATGAAGGGGGTGGTATATACGTTTGGCTTGAGGGAAGTGCGGTTTAGCGCCGCCAAATTCTTCAACTCCTCAAAGCTAGTTACGTATACTACTAATCAGGTATGTCCTCACGTGTATGTTATTTTGCACTCACTTTTACTAATTAACAAATCCAATATTAGTTAGAACTGTGCCCCCCAGAACGCCCAAAAACTAAAGTAAGTAGCCCCTTTTTTAATGTTCTCCTGAGGAATGAGAAATTTATCTCACCTTTAACCCTCTACTCCCAGGTGCCCTACGCACTTTATCAAGACGAAGAGACAGAGTTTGTATTTATATTTATTATTATTACCCCCAATAAAATAAAATTGTACAAGACAGATCGTTCACTATCATCGCCCACGCACCTGGCCTGAAAAAAGACCAACTGAAGATTGCGGTGGGCGATAGCAACAAAACGATTACAATAACTGGCAACATGCCTCCTCTCTCGCATAAAAATTTAATAATTAACTCACTACCAACGGGGCCATTTGAGCTCGAAATCGAACTACCGGCAAAGTAAGTATAGAAACAGGATAATAAGGATGTGTTTATAGAATGGCGCTGATGTATTTCTCTTTAGGGTAAACGTAAAAACCGCCGTGAAGATAGCCGTAGAGGAAGGCATTGCGGCAATAACGGTACGCACGGCACCAAGAAAACAATTCTTGGACATAGATGATTAACCAGTCCGAGAACCAGTTAGTACTGTGTGCGTCCAGTTCTGACTCCTAGAAGAGTAGAGTCAGCTCATTAGATGTAAGCACTAAAATCAGCGTAATTTCGGGTAAATTCGCTGCCAAAGTCAGCGGCGTGTAATGTAGCTAAAAGAAAAATGTACACCCCCCTCCTCCTGCCAAAAGTATAATACGGTACAAGATTTTACTAGTAAAACATAAAAAATCGAAAATTTCAACTCGCTAACTCTCCACATCTTCTCGAACAAGTACTAATAAAATTTATATCATATTAAAGCTAAATTGCTGTAGTTTTAATTAAGAGATACCAGCAATTTGAAGATATTATCAATTGCTGTCTATACTCTCAACAAAAGTATAAATACGATTTACAGTATGTCGATCATTTAATATTAATTAAGCATGTAAAACTTTCATCTCTTTCTCACATGCAACAGTAATATTCTTAAAATTGCTAATATCTCTCACTTAAAACTACAGCTATCTGGCTTTAAAATGATATAAATTTTATTGGTGCTTGTTCGAGAAGATGTGGAGACTTAGCGTTTGAAATTTTCGATTTTTTATATGTTTTACTAGTAAAATCTCGTACCGTATTTATACTTTTGGCAGGGGGGTGCAAATTGTTATCGTTATAAGTAAAATACGTTGACAATTCTGTTGTGTGAAGAATGAAATCAAAACCATACATAATCATGTGTGGTTTATTTTCAATACATATGTTGATGATACTCGTTACCACTCACACTTTCTGAAGGATTCGAGAGACAGTATTGCGAATGTTAAGTGCAAACCTTGTCGTATCATTATTTGTACTATTATTATGTCAATGAATGGAAAGTGTCCCAGAGTTCGCATTTCCCTTGAAATCGATCTCAATCGCTAGCATCACTAAACCAAGAATCATATGCTCATGAAATTTACATGCATGTTAAGCATAACTGTTGTCGATGTGTGCGCAAAAGATTGACACCGAATATTATGTTGAATTCTGAGTTTGCATATAACAATCTGTTTAATTTTTTTAAAAACACGAAATCGATCTCAATCGCTAGCATCACTAAATCGGCAACCAATAATCAAATGCTCATGAAATTTACATGCATGTTAAGCATAACTGTTGTCGATGTGTGTGCAAAAGATTGACACAGAATATTATTATTATGTTGAATTCTGAGTTTGCACATAACAATCTATTTAATTTTTTTAAAACACGAAATCGATCTCAATCGCTAGCATCACTAAATCCGCAACCAATAATCAAATGCTCATGAAATTTACATGCATGTTAAGCATAACTGTTGCCAATGTGTGTGCAAAAGATTGGCACGGAATATTAAGTTCAATTTGAATATGCGTAAATGGCTGGCTTGATCCTTCAAAGACGCGAAATCAAATTTCGTCATCAATCACTAATAGTAATATAAATAGCCACAATCACAAATAAATACTTAATCACATTTAGTCACATGCAATAGCAATATCCAACAAATATGTTAAGTTTCAAAATACAACTTGTAAAAGAATCCATTTTGAACGCTCTTGCAATCTACCCTAACCCTAAAACTAACCCTCGTCAACGAAATTAGGACTACATCTTGGTACTTACATAAATTCTTTGTAGCTGTTGCAGTTGTAGTAAGTTGTGCTTCAAAACATATAAGGGCGACTTTAGTGGCCTGCTAACAGAATAGTCACAGATTCCGCATTACACTCTCGCTTTACCCATATACGTATATATATGTACTACTTACGAAATATTCCTTCCCTTTTTTCTCGAAATGGTTGCTGTAATAAACAAAGTGGTAATAATTAAAAAAGTTGTTTAAAGTCGGAACTATTCAGAGTTTAGTTCTCTCTTGCTTATCTCCAAAAGAATCTGTAAAAACGCTCTCAAAAGACGCTTTGCAAGAGCCTTTACTGTTTGAGACAGAAAACACTTACGAAGATATTTAAAGTTCCTGTGTGTAGTCCAGAGCCAGCAGTACGTTTTTCTTTATGAGGTGAAAAACTAGTTGCTAGTTACGTGGGCATGTCTGAACTGGTTTGACGTTACACAGACATTTGATCATAGTGGATTGCAAGTCCCGTGCCCACATTTCAGATGTACTTTGACTTTAATCGTGTTGACAACATACTAATATACTGTACATCGGCGTATATCGGATATCATTTGTAATACTTATTATTATACGAATGGAGAAAGGAAATCAACATACGTTACATCATAATCACAGAGCAGCTGAACAAGGAGATGCCCTTGCTGCTTTATGTATATGTAATGAAAAACAAAAAGCCGTTGAATGGTATAAAAAAGCGGCTGA